AAGCCGTCGTACCGGGCTGGGTAATAAGAGAAAAGAAAGAGGGGAGAGGGAGGGAAAGAGAAAGAAGAGGAAAAGAAAAGGAGAGAAAAAGAGAAGAGAAAAATAAAGACAAGAATAAAAAGGAAGATATCATAATGACCAGACTCACAACACCCTGCAACCCCTTCTCCACTTCAAACTGTCATAACTCCTTTGATCTATGCTGCCCGATGGCGTAACCACTGGGGGACAAGAGGAAAATATCTATCTTTGAAAAATCTTCCCCACCCCTTTATAAATGCCCTTTCATCCCCTGAAAGTGCCTAAAAACCTCAAATTTCGCGCGCAATTCTTGTTAACATGACCCAATTCCCTCTAAAAATTGCACATTTTAGGGAGTTTTGATCAATTCCAACGAAATTAGAATTAAAAACACCGGGGGACAATTAGGGGAAAATATCCATCTTTGGAAATTCTTCCCCCCCCCCCCTTGACAAATGCACCCTCTGAAAGCGCCTAAAATTCTCAAATTCTTTGCGCTCATTTCTTGTTACGGTAGGCCAATTTCCTCTATAAATTGCACATTTTAGGGAGTTTTCATCAATTCCGACGAAATTAGAATTAAAAACACAAAAACATTTTTTAGGGCTTTTTTAGTTTTATCCTATTAAGTTATTTAAACACATAATTGTCCCAAACTCAAGAAAGACAAATTTAAGATAGATCATTTAAACCTAAAAGAAGGGCCTCAATGTGTATAGATGGTGAAAGAATAGGTTTATAATAAATAAAACCATGATGAAAATGCTTATATTTATTATTGTTATTATTATTATTCTTGTATTATTATTATTATTATTATTATTATTATTATTATTATTATTATTAAAATACTTATAATGGTCACATTATTAAGAAGACACAACAATAATTGTTACTTAACCAATATCCTGAGGCGCGTGGAACGGAGAGAGTAGAGAAAACAGTAGAACTTATACATACTGTTTGTGGTGCTGAACTAATAATAATAATTCAAATAATAAAACATTAAATAGTTAAACCGTTATTAAATTTTTAATTATTGGTCATGTTGTAACTTCAGCCGTTGTCTTTCAAACCATTTAAATTATCGTAGCAAAAAGTATAAAAACTAACTTGTGTTTTTAATGAAAGTTAATCACTTGTAAATTATAAATGCTTGAAAATGTGTAGTTCAATGGTTTGATTGAATGTGTGTGGAATGGGAATTGAATATATGGCGTAGACCTATGTTTAAGAAAAAAATACATATGCGTGTGTGTGTGTGTTTGAGTTGATCCCTTTGCATCTGTGTTGTTGTGGTTGGAAAGTTGGACAGTAGAAGTAGATTATGAGGAGATTGTACCTTACTTTGTGCATGCGCTAATAATGCTTTCAGACACTAATGAATAATGAGTTTTTGCTTAACTTACCTACGATAAAAGAATCGCATTCTGATATCTCTTCCCACATATAATACACTACTCGAGTGCGCGTGCCTTTATTATAATTTGAGAAAATATGAGAAAAAAAATAGGCGTTCGGCACACAAAGTAGGTAAATTGAAGTAAGTACATCAAAGACAATTAAGTTATTTTTTTCTTTTCTTATCTTTTTTTTTTCTCCTATGGTACAATCCAGAGATTAAATAGATCTCTATGATTGGCGAAAATCGCAGATAAAAGATCATGGTGAAGTGTGATGATAATGATGATGATTTTTAGTATGATATGAGTGTCATTTCCGGCCATATATTTGGGGTAGGCCTACTATTTCCTCAAAATGTTTGTCACTTCAGCCCAACCATGGTGGGCTTATGTGGGTGTGGCCACACGGCTTTGAAGTAGGTAAGGTAAAGTAAATACATCAAAAACAATGTTTTTCTATGGTAGGCTTACATCACACACATTAATATTTCCTTGGTTGCTGAAAAATGTTAATAAAAGATCATAAGAAATTTGTTGTCGCTTCATTTTGACTATAATTGTGATGTGATGATGATGAATGTTACTATAGAAGAGTGTTTTTTCCGGCCATCTATTTCCCTAACTTTTTGCACCTCAGCCCTAACCACGGTGGCGCTGAGATTGGTGTGAAGAATTAGGTAAAGTAAAATAAATACATCAAAGACGATGTTTTTACTTTTATTTTCTATGGTACATCACACAGATTATTTAGATCTCTGATTGTCTGAAATCGCTGACAAAAGAGTGATAAATTGGTTGTCGCATCATTTTGACTATATTGTAATAGTGATGTAATGATGATTAATTTTACTTTATAAGAGTGTACTTTCCGGCACTATTTCCTCAAATTTTCACACCTCAGCCCAGTCCCCGACCACGGTGGGCTAGGGTGGCAAAGTAATATATTTACATCAAAGACAGTGTTTTAAATTTTATTTTCCAACATCACAAATTATTAAGAGCTCTATGGTTGTTGAAAATTGCTGATACAAGATCATGAGAAATGATGGCGATGTGAGGATGATGAATTTTACTATATAAGAGTGTCATTTCCGCCATCCATCTATATAGTTACTATTTTCTTAAATGTTCGCACCTCAGCCCACGTTTGGTCTCACAAATGTCTCCTAACAGATCTGTGCCATTGTGTATATGTTGTTGTAATTACTGAATTCAATGAGACATGTTTCCTTATCCTATATTGGCAGCTATTTTGAAAATCAAGATGGCCGCCATAAAAATGGTCAGAAATTGAAAACGTCAGTATAATTCCGCTTCTCTATATAAAAAAAAAGGTAAATTTCAGTCTAAACATATGTTTTTAAAACTTCTGATTCCGAAGCATAGTCTCAAACAGTTAGAATGACAGCCATTTTGAAATTCAAAATAAGCCATCGAAAATAGAATATTTTGGTATGTAACCCATTTCTCTTCAATTATAAATGGTGTCAAAATTAAAAATGACTAAAAACTTTGGTGACTGTTCTCTGCTATCAATAGTGTTTACCCAATCAAATACAAGGATTTAATGGAGCAATTCTTGTATAT